GTCTTTTTTCTTCTTCTTCATCCTCTTTTTCTTCTTCAGCGATTTCTTTCTTCTTCTTCTGAAGCGAGTTCTTTCTTCTTCTTCTTCAGCGATTTCTTTCTTTCTTCTTCTTCAGCGATTTCTTTCTTTCTTCTTCTTCTTCATCGAGTTCTTTCTTTCTTCTTCTTCTTCAGCGATTTCTTTCTTCTTCTTCTTCAGCGATTTCTTTCTTTCTTCTTCTTCAGCGATTTCTTTCTTTCTTCTTCTTCAGCGATTTCTTTCTTTCTTCTTTTTCAGCGATTTCTTTCTTCTTCTTCTTCAGCGATTTCTTTCTTCTACTTCTTCAGCTAGTTCTTTCTTTCTTCTTCAACGATTTCTTCTTCTTCTGCGAGTTCTTTCTTTATTTCTTCTTCAGCGATTTCTTTCTTTCTTCTTCTTCTTCAGCGATTTCTTTCTTTTTCTTTTCGATTTCTTTCTTTCTTCTTTTTCACGATTTTTTCTTCCTTCTTATTTCTTTCTTCTTTCTTCCTTTTTTCTTTTAACGTCTTTTCTGCGAGTTCTTTCTTCTTCTTCCTTTTCGTTTTCTTCTTCAGCCTCTTTTTTCTCATTTCTCTTTTGCATTTATCGCTCTTTTTTTTTCTTTACCGCCTTTCTTCTTCAACGTCTTTTTTCTTCTACTTCTCTATTGCTCTCTTCTTTTTCTTCTTCAACGTCTCTTTCTTGCTTCTTCTTTACATTTGTCTCTCGTTTTTTTCTATGCCACTTTCCTTTTTTAACGACTTTTTCCCTGTTTCATCTTTTTTTCTTCAATGTCGATTTTTTTCTCTTTTACCTTCTACTTCTTGTAAACACCGGTCCCGTACGATCACCGGAGTTAAGCAACGTCGAGCCTGGTCAGTATTTAGATGGGTGACAGTTTGGATGTGCGTGTGGTGTAATGGATAACGGCTCGAAATTGTTAATCGATAGACGAGTTCTAATTCCAGTCGAGGTCGTTATATTCACCAACGCGCAAATACATTTGGAAAAGGTATTAATCCACCTCTTCTTCCCTAGCTATGGGTTATGTAGTAAGACTTGTATCACTAAATCATTATTATCTAAAAAAAAGAAAATTACTGCAATCTAAAAATTATTTTCTGGCTTTAAATAACCTGCAAAGGGTTGATAAACCATAAAACCAATCTAATTTTTGTTTTTTCTTTACTATTGGCGCTCTTTTTTTTCTTTTAAAAATCCATATCGCTTCAGGATACCGGCAGTCATGACGCTCCACAGCTTCCTGTTCTTTATCGTCTTTGAATTGCCAAGTATTCTTGGGAGAGATAGGGAGTGATTTCCCTGTTATCTTCAATATAGTTCGAGATTAAACTTTTCTTTCTTGTACACTGGTTGCCAACCAAAGGTAGAGACCTCATTCTTCCCTGCTATTTAACCCACAACTCAGATATTTTAGGTTAACGTCATGTTCCTTCAAGACGCAGGTGATCATGGCTCTCCACAAACACTTGCCCTTTGTAGCTCTTATTAAATTTTGTCTTTCTGTTATCAATAAGAGTAGATAGGTTTAATAAAGGTAGATAGGTTCGCCTTTCGCCCGGTTCATACTTCTTTCGGGTCTTTTGAACAAAGAGTAGAAGTTTATACCTTTTTCCCTGTTTAGAATTGGGTTTCTGCTTCAGCTCTGTAGTCCTAATGTCTGCGTCTCAACTCAGAATATTTATTGACTAAATATTTATTTGATTTTTCTTTTTCCTCCACCGATAGAAGTAAATGAGTTCGCCTGGCGTCCGGTTCATGCTCCTCCCCAGATCAGGAGTAGCGGTTTGTCCCTGTTTAGGATTGGGTTTCCCGTTCCTTCGAAAATCTACTTCAACTCTCTACGCCTAAAGCTTGTCTTTTTTATGCTTATATAAGTCGGACGCAGTAACCCTTGAGTAGCTCTTAGGAATTGTATTAGGTTAAAATTAGTTTTAAAATTCTCTCAAATCCTGTTCCACCATCTAGGGACCGGACATGCGAGCAACGAAGAGGTTTTGGATGGAATGGAAACCAAAAGGAAACATATAATTAACATCAGGAAGAGGCAGTTCAAATTTCTGGGACACGTAATGAGGAAAGGGGGCTTGGAAAATCTAATGCGCACAGGGTAGATTGTGAGAAAGAGAGACAGAGGAAACTAACACGAAACATACTTGATGAGTAAATGGATGGCAGAACAGGGTTTGGGAGAAATAATGAAAAAATTAAACTTATTAGAAGCTACAAGGGATAGGAAGATCTGGAGAGCCATGATCGCCTACGACCTGAAAGGACACGGTACATAAAGGAAGAAATATGTAGTTCGTAGTTTTCCTCTGTTTCTCTAAATTAGTACAACCTTCTGAACATCCCACAGCCTTTACATTTCCTTCTTTCCATCTCTCTAAAAGCTAACGGTTAACCTTTATCACTCTGTACGTGATTCCAGTTGCTGTACAAAATGTTTATCCTGCCATTGAAGGCGACTCTGATCACTGAACAATAGTGAGTTTGAATTTCATAGTTGTGCTGTCATATCCTGCTATGGCAACAGAAAACAACTTTGAGTGAAATTAGCAATAAGGATACTGCAGTTAAGAATCCTTGAAAAAGAATGTAGGGGAAAGGGAAGTAATATTAATAATGCAGAGGGCTAAAGGTTAAATAACCTTGTTAGATTGAGACTTTCATATGGATGTCATGCATGACAGAGCATTTACTCAAATACAGGTATCCACTAAAAATAGTGTTTAATGTAATAAAAAGTATATAGAATTAAAAAATAAATTCTGTTTATATATATATATATATATATATATATATATATATATATTGTATATATTGTATGAAGACTGGTAAAAAAAATGCTATAAATACAATATTAACGTGAAAACTGAAGTCCTGATCTTAAATAGCCTCATAAGTTTGAGACTTTCATATGGATGTCATGCATGACAAAGCATTTACTCAAATACATGTATCCACTAAAAATAGTGTTTAATGTTATAAAAAGTATATAGAATTAAAAAATAAATTATATTATATATATATATGTGTGTGTGTGCAGTACTCAGTTAAGCTTACTAATTATAATAATTCAAAGATGAACCTGTAAATAAAACAAAAAGAAGGCAAATGTTTTTTCCCCCCAATTCATGCCACTTTTAACCATTATCAATCTATATTTGACTTCATTTGCTGTACAATAGGTTTATCCTGCCACTGAAGGTGACTCAGATCCCTAAGTTTGAATTTCATAGTTGTGTTATCATATCCTGCTATGGCAACAGAAAACAATTTTGAGAGTGAAATTAACAATAAAGATACTGCAATTGAGAGGCCTTAAAAATGCAGAGGAAAGGGAAGTAATATTAATAATGCAGAATACTAAAGGTTATTTAGTAAGACTTGTATTAATAAAACATTATTATCTCAAATAAAAAAAAAACTCTTGCAATCTAAAAATATTTTTTGGCTTTATATAACTTGCAAAGGGTCGGTGCGCTGATTTCTTGTGTCGTTAATTTCCTCCTTTCAACCTCTTTATTTTCTTCGATAGTGACTGACGTTGTTGTTAGTAGTAGTAGTAGTAGTAGTGGTGGTGGTGGTTCTTCTTCTTCTTCTTCTTCTTCTTTTCCTCCTCTCCGCTTTCTTTCTTCTTTATTCTCTCCTCTACTTCAATCTTCTTCTCCGTCTTCTTCTTCTCCCCTCTACCCCGCTTTATTCTTTTTATGCTCCTTCACCGTTTTCTCCTCCTCCTTTTTTCCTCCGCTTTCTTCTTCTTCTTTGTTTTCCTTCTCTTCGCTTTCTTCTTCTTCTTTGTTTTCCTCCTCTTCTTCGTTGTTTTCTTCTTCTTCGTTTCCCTCTTTTTCTTCTTCTTTGTTTCCCTCTTCTTCTTCTTTGTTTTCTTCTTCTTCGTTTCCCTCTTCTTCTTCTTTGTTTTCTTCTTCTTCGTTTCCCTCTTCTTCTTCTTTGTTTTCTTCTTCTTCGTTTCCCTCTTCTTCTTCTTTGTTTTCTTCTTCTTCGTTTCCCCCTTCTTCTTCTTCTTTCTTTTTCTTCTTCTTCTTTGTTTTCTTTTCTTCCTTCTTCTTCTTCTTCTTTTGTTTTCTTCTTCTTCTTTGTTTTCTTCTTTTCCCTCTTCTTCTTCTTTGTTTTTCTTCTTCTTCGTTTCCCTCTTCTTCTTCTTTTTTTTCTTCTTCTTCGTTTCCCTCTTCTTCTTCTTTGTTTTTCTTCTTCTTCGTTTTCTTCTTCTTCTTTGTTTTCTTCTTCTTCGTTTCCTCTTCTTCTTCTTTGTTTTCTTCTTCTTCTTCTTCTTTGTTTTCTTCTTCTTCGTTTCCCTCTTCTTCTTCTTTGTTTTCTTCTTCTTCGTTTCCCTCTTCTTCTTCTTTGTTTTCTTCTTCTTCGTTTCCCTCTTCTTCTTCTTTGTTTTCTTCTTCTTCGTTTCCCTCTTCTTCTTCTTTGTTTTCTTCTTCTTCGTTTCCCTTCTTCTTCTTTGTTTCTTTTCTTCGTTTTCTTCTTCGTTTCCCTTCTTCTTCTTCTTCTTTGTTTTTCTTCTTCTTCGTTTCCTTCTTCTTCGTTTCTTCTTTTGTTTTCTTCTTCTTCGTTTCCCTCTTCTTCTTCTTCTTTGTTTTCTTCTTCTTCGTTTGTTTTTTCTTCTTCTTCTTCTTTTCTTCTTCTTTGTTTTTTTTCTTCTTCGTTTCCCTCTTCTTCTTCTTCTTTGTTTTCTTCTTCTTCGTTTCCTCTTCTTCTTCTTCTTTGTTTTCTTCTTCTTCGTTTCCCTCTTCTTCTTCTTCGTTTTCTTCTTCTTCGTTTCCCTCTTCTTCTTTTTTTTCTTCTTCTTCGTTTCCCTCTTCTTCTTCTTCTTTGTTTTCTTCTTCTTCGTTTCCCTCTTCTTCTTCTTCTTTGTTTTCTTCTTCTTCGTTTCCCTCTTCTTCTTCTTCGTTTTCTTCTTCTTCGTTTCCCTCTTCTTCGTTTTCTTCTTCTTCTTCGTTTCCCTCTTCTTCTCCTTCGTTTTCTTCTTCTTCGTCGTTTCCCTCTTCTTCGTTTTCTTCTTCTTCTTCTTCTTTCTTCTCCTCTTTTTCTTCTTCTTCTTCCTTCTTCTCCTCCCCCGTGATCTTCTGTATCGTTTTCATTACTGTCTTTTCTTTATTTGTAACTTTCGTATTTGCTTATTGCTTTTATTTTCTGCTGCTTCTTTCTTCACAACACCCTCTTTATTCGCCATAAAGCCTCTAACTTAGCACAACCATTCCCAACATCCCACAGCCTTTACCCTTCCTCTTTCCATCTCTTTTAAATAGTTTTTTTTGTCCTCTCCTCTTTCAAATTCGCTTGCCTCTTTTCGCCGCCATATTACTGCGTCTCACTTCAAATCATCTCCCACTTCCTGCGGCTAAAGTGAAAATTGATAACATGTCATCTTGAGATCCATATGCGCTTGGGTTGACCTTTGCCCTGTCGTTTTTTTTATATCGACTTACATTAAGTTCGTCTTATTGTGAAAAGGACTTAGCCAGGGCAGTTCAGAATAATGTCGATGATAATGATAACAATTATGAGGATAAAAGAGGAGTCAGAAGTGCCATCCTTTATCTTAAACATCTTATCTTTTTACGATTTATATCTTTGCGTCCAATAGGTTTACCTTCGTTCTTTCTTATCTACCGCACTTGGTCGACTGGGGACAAAGTTTGCGATTGTACTCTGGTGTCTTTTCAAAGGCTAAAAGCAGTGTTGGGCGCCATGTATTTCTCATATCTATCTATTTCTCTATCTAAGTCTTATTACTCCCCATCTATCTATTTCTTTCTGCCCATATCAATCTTGCAGTCTGTTCATATCTATCTATAACATTCTGAAAATATCTATCTGTCTATCTATGCCATTCTGACAATATCTATCTATGCCATTTTGATATTATCTATGCCATTCTAACAATATCTGTCTATCTATGTATCTATCCCATTCTGATATTATCTATCTATGCCATTCTGACAATATCTATCTATCTATCCATGCCATTGTGACAATATCTATCTATCTATCTATGCCATTCTGACAATATCTATCTATCTATCTATGCCATTCTGACAATATCTATCTATGTCATTCTGACAATATCTATCTATCTATGCCATTCTGACAATATCTATCTATCTATCTATCTATGCCATTCTGACAATATCTATCTATGCCATTCTGACAATATCTATCTATCTATCTATCTATGCCATTCTGACAATATCTATCTATCTATGCCATTCTGACAATATCTATCTATCAATCTATCTATGCCATTCTGACAATATCTATCTATGCCATTCTGACAATATCTATCTATGCCATTCTGACAATATCTATCTATCAATCTATCCATGCCATTCTGACAATATCTATCTATCTATCTATCCATGCCATTCTGACAATATCTATCTATCTATCTATCCCATTCTGACAATATCTATCTATCTATCTATGCCATTCTGACAATATATATCTATCTATGCCATTCTGACAATATCTATCTATCTATGCCATTCTGACAATATCTATCTATCTATCTATGCCTGTGGAGGCTGGAAAGTAAGATTTGGGCAGCCCTAGCCCAGATATTCCATTTTGGGTCTGGTCTTACTCTTATAAAGGTAGAGCACACCAAGAAGAGTCAGATACTTTCTGGAACAGAAAGATGAGCCGCCATCTTCTTTTTTTTCCATTGTCTTTAGCGAGGGATCATATGTATGAGTTAGCCATTTAAACAGTAACTCTCTAACCTCAGATTCTCGGGTGCCTTGTATCGGGTGAACTTTAGTCTATAAAAAGCATTTGGAAATCATCGTCGATGTGAAAACTCTGAACACAAAAACAGGAAGCGAAAAACCATGGGGAGATGTACAGTTGGCGGGAAAAAAATACAACAACAACAACTTTATATCTAAGAATCGGTGGAATTCTGAAGCTACCAAAAAAGAAGTAAAAAAAAAAAGGAGAACGAGAGAGATAGATAAAGAGAGAGCGAGAGAGAGAGTGATAGAGAGAAAAAGAGTGAGGAAGAATGAGAGAGTGAGTGTGAGAGTTTGAGGGAGAGATTAAAGCGGACAATAATGGCAACCAGTTATGAAATTCATTGAGATTGCATTGTGCCAGAACAAAGAAGAAAAAAAATATGAAGGAAAGGGTGTGGAGGATAATAAGAAGTAGAGGTAGAGAGAAATCAGAGAGAGGGGTAGAGAGAGAGAGAGAGAGAAAGTGAGGCAAACAATATGAAAGAAAAAGAGCGCAAAAAGATGTAATAGAAAAAGTCAGCGTACGAGGACAATATGAACATCAAAAACCAAGAATGAATGAAAAAGATGTAAAAGGAAATTATGATGAGAAGGTGGGGAGGGCGGAGGGAGTAGAAGAAAAAGAAGAATGTAAAGGGAAAGCAAGAAGAGGAAGAAGAAAAAAGAAGGAAAGGGAAAACATCAAGAAGAGAGAGAGAGTTCAAGGAAAAGATGAATGTGAAGGGCAAGCAAGAAAAAGAAGAAGAAGAAGAAAAAAGAAGGAAAGGGAGAACAAGAAAAGGAATAATGTAAAGGGAAAATATCAAGAAGAGAGAGAGAGAGAAAGAGTACAAGGAAAAGATGAATGTGAAGGGAAAGCAAGAAGAAGAAGAAGAAGAAGAAGAAAAAAAAATGAAGGAAAGGGAGAACAAGAAAAGGAATAATGTAAAGGGAAAATATCAAGAAGAGAGAGAGAGAGAGAGAAAGAGTACAAGGAAAAGATGAATGTGAAGGGAAAGCAAGAAGAAGAAGAAGAAGAAAAGAAGGAAAGGGAGAACAAGAAAAGGAATAATGTAAAGGGAAATATCAAGAAGAGAGAGAGAGAGAGAGAGAGAAAGAGTACAAGGAAAAGATGAATGTGAAGGGCAAGCAAGAAGAAGAAGAAGAAGAAGAGAACAAGAAAAGGAATAATGTAAAGGGAAAATATCAAGAAGAGAGAGAGAGAGAGAGAAAGAGTACAAGGAAAAGATGAATGTGAAGGGAAAGCAAGAAGAAGAAGAAGAAGAAAAGATGGAAAGGGAGAACAAGAAAAGGAATAATGTAAAGGGAAATATCAAGAAGAGAGAGAGAGAGAGAGAGAGAAAGAGTACAAGGAAAAGATGAATGTGAAGGGCAAGCAAGAAGAAGAAGAAAAGAAGAAAAGGGAGAACAAGAAAAGGAATAATGTAAAGGGAAAATATCAAGAAGAGAGAGAGAGAGAGAGAGAGAAAGAGCACAAGGAAAAGATGAATGTGAAGGGCAAGAAAGAAGAAGAAGAAGAAGAAGAAGAAAAGAAGAAAAGGGAGAACAAGAAAAGGAATAATGTAAAGGGAAATATCAAGAAGAGAGAGAGAGAGAGAGAGAGAGAAAGAGTACAAGGAAAAGATGAATGTGAAGGGCAAGCAAGAAGAAGAAGAAGAAAAGAAGAAAAGGGAGAACAAGAAAAGGAATAATGTAAAGGGAAATATCAAGAAGAGAGAGAGAGAGAGAGAGAGAGAGAGTACAAGGAAAAGATGAATGTGAAGGGCAAGCAAGAAGAAGAAGAAGAAGAAGAAAAGAAGGAAAGGGAGAACAAGAAAAGGAACAATGTAAAGGGAAAATATCAAGAAGAGAGAGAGAGAGGGGGAAAGAGTACAAGGAAAAGATGAATGTGAAGGGAAAGCAAGAAGAAGAAGAAAAGAAGGAAAGGGAGAACAAGAAAGCGAATAATGTAAAGGGAAAATATCAAGAAGAGAGAGAGAGAAAGAAAGAGTACAAGGAAAAGATGAACGTGAAGGTAAAGAAAGAAAAAGAAGTAAGAAAGAAAGGCAGTAAAATTCGTTGTTTTCCTCTGTTGCTCTAAATTAGTACAACTCATCTCAATATCTCATGGCCTTCACAATTCCTCTTTCCATGCATGTAAAAGAAAAGCAAGAAGGAGAAAAAAAGAAAAAGAAGGAAAAGGTGAACAAGAAAAAGGAATAATGTAAATGGAAAACATCAAGAAGAAGAGAGAGAGAGAAAGAGTACAAGGAAAAGATGAATGTAAAGGGAAAGAAAGAAAGAAAGAAAGAATGAGGGTACAAGAAAAAGAAGAATGCAAAAGGAAAGAAAGAAGAAGAAAAAAAGAAGGAAAAGGTGAACAAGAAAAGGAATCTTATAAAGGGAAAGCATCAAGAAGTAGAAGAAGAGAGAGAAAGTGTGCAAGAAAAAGAAGAATGTAAAGAAAAAGCAAGCAATAAAGAAAAAAGAAAGAAAGAAAGAAAGATAGAAAGGGGGTAGAGGAAAATGATTAATATATACTGTAGGTACCTCCACGAAATCGCTAAAAATCAGTATACCCTGATGAAAACATGCTCCAATCATAATGAAAACAGTTTTTATCGTCAAAATCTTTATCTTATTATTAAGAGGAAGGATCAAAGTTTTCTTTTGTGTATCTAATGAAATTTTTACTCCTTTTTAGAACATTCGAAATTTTGATAAAAAAACTTGTTTTTCTAGCGGATGTACTAACTTTTAGTATAGCAAATTTTAGCCTCTTTTTTGCGGCGACAGACACGTTAATTTGGAAATTCTTGCAAAAATCAAATAATTGTCAGATTTTAATGAAATTTTCAGGACTTATTCATAAATGACTGAAAATCTCGGTAAAAATACTTTTTTTGCATATGTTTTACCGCCTTACTTGATTTTATGAAAACTTCAACGTAATTATTTTTAGTGACTATATTATCTAAAAGCAGAACACTTTGAAGAAATCGATCAACACATCATAAAAACAGGAGCCCGTGGTTAAGAAATGCTTGTAAACAACATTTTATGCCATAAGTAATATTTGTTTCAAATCAGATTAATTTAACTTTGATGTTGCTAATTTTTCTCAAATAAAGTTTCAGAAATATATATTTTATTTTTGCTAGATTTTTAAAACCGAAAATTAACTTTTGTCTACAAATGTGTCAAAATGGCAGATTTCATCGATTTTATTGACAAAAAAACGATCAATATAGTTACTGTTTCAATTATACCACAGAATATTTTTCGTACTGGAAGTAGTAAATTTTAATCCTTAGTGGAGGCACCTAATATAAATGGAAAGTAACAAAAAGGACGTTACTGCTGGAGAGGAGTGTGAGCCAGACGATAGGTGAAACTACTGCTCCTTTTTCAGCTTCATTTTCATCTTCTTTTTCATTTTCTTTTTCTTCTTCATTTCTTTTTCACCATTTCCTTTTTTCATTTTCTTCTTCATTTTCTTGTTTTTCTCTTTTTCTTTTTCATCATCATTTTCTTTTTCGCTTGTTTTTCTTCTATATTTTCTTTGGCTCCTTTTTATCTTTTCTTTTTCTTCTTCTTCAGTTTTTCCACTTCTTTTTCATCTCTTTTCCATCATCATTTTGTTATTCGTCATTTTCTTTTCTTCCCGTTTTCATTTTAGTTTTCTTCTCTTTTTCTTCTTTTCTTTTCCCGTTTTCATTTTAATTTTCTTCTCTTTTTCTTCTTCATTTTTTTCTCTTTTTCTTCATTTTCTTTTTTCTTCATTTTCTTTTTATTTCTCATTTTCTTCTTCTCTTTTTCGTTTTCATTTCTCTTTTTCTTTTTCTTCGCTTTTTTATCTTCTTATCTGAATCTTACTTTTTTCCTGTTTTATCTTCTTTTCTTTCATTGTTCGTTTTTTGATGTCCTAATTGTCTTGTACCCCGCTGTCTCTTCTTTTTCTCCTTCTTTTTCTTTTATTCCTCCCCCTTCATATCGTCCCTCTGTCATCCTCTCTCTCTCTCTCACTGTTTATTCTCCACTTTCTTATATCCTCAACTCCCTTCTTTTCTTCTTAGCTTTTTCTTCTTCTTTATATTGTTCCCCTCCTACCTCCTTCCCTCCCACTCTCTCTCTCTTGAATTACCCACTTCTCGTTTTCCTATTCTTCTTCTCGTTTTTCTTTACACTTTCCTTTTCCTTGTACTCCCATCTTTCTTCTTCTTCTTCTTCATGTTGATCGTTTTTCTCCCCTTCTATTCTCCCTTCTGTCTTTCCCTATTCTGATTATTTCATTTCTTCTTCTTCTGTTCCGTTTTTTTCTTCGAAAATAACAAAATTCTACCTTGAAAATCAACACTCAAAAACGTGTTTCTTTTACTAGGTCTTGAACCTTGATCTCTGACCCTGTTGGGAAATCCCCAACTATTTAAGATATGACACAAGCCCCAAATTAACCTATTTCTTTTCATTCTTATTTTTTTATTTTTTTCAAAAACTTCTTTTCGTTCTTTTTTTTTTTTTTCAAAAACTTCTTCCTTTTCTTTCTTTCTCCTGTTGTCCTCGGCGAAGCTCGAAAACAATGCCCGACTTCTTGCGGTTTGGTCTGTCATGACAGGGGTGTATATTATCGGCCTACATGTCGTTCGTCACCAACTTGAAATGTTTCATAACTCTGCTGACATCCCCGATTCCCACCTTGCTATCTCTCCTTCTTTCGCTCCCCCTTGCTAGCATTATGGCTTGAAGACTAAAAGAAAAAAAAAACAAAACAAAACCAAAAAAAAAAAAACAACCATCCTTAACTACATGGTGTTATCCATCAAATCCATATTTCTCTCGAAGGGCTTTTTACTTTCTTCTCTTTCTTCCCGTCTTTGCCTTTAATCCTGTGCCTTTCTTTTTTCCTTTTGTTTTCTTTCTTTCTTCCTTTGATTTCTGCCTGTGTTAATTTGTTTCTTTTGTATTCAATTCTCGACTTAAAATTGACTACGCATTGTGTTGGGCAAAATGCTCATTCCGTTTTTGTCATTTGATGGCATTAGGGGTGTTTTTACTCCATAGAAACAGATCGCTTTTGAATATAGTATCAGCGTGCGCGGGGGGGGGGGTTGTTTTTTGTTATTTTATTTTATTTAATTTTTTTTGTTTTGGAGGCGGGTGGCTCGAAATTGTCAAAATAGGCGTATTTTTGTTTATTGATCCCAACGGTGAAGATAGAAGAAAATTAACATTTCCAGAATTTTATGCTATTTCTAAAGAACTTGTTGGGGCTTCAAAATATGATTATTATTATTATTATTATTATTAATAATAATAATAATAATGTTGTTGTTGATATTATTATTATTATTGTAGTAGTAGTAGTAATAATGACAATAGGAAACAACAAAATTTTTCGCGTGTGTTTTAATCCTCACAAAAAAGTCCGCTAAAAGAAACTGTATTTTCTAATTAAAAAAAAAAACAAACAAAAAATTGGTGAATTATTTAATAATTATAACTCTTTTTCGCTTCCCCCCTCTCTTCTTTCGTTTTATAAGAAGAGCTAGGAAAATATGATACTCGCTGGAAAGACAGTTGAAGTTTCTGGGGCAGTTAATGAGGAAGGAAGGCTTGGAAAATGTGATCCTCACGGGACAGATATAGGGCAAGAGGGACAGAAGAAAACAACGTGTCATATAATTAATGAGCTTGAGTAAAATGGATGGTGGAACAGGTCTTAGTAGAAATAACAAAGTTTATTAAGGGCTACAAGGGACAGGAAGTTGTGGAGAGCCATGATCGCCTATGCCCTGAGGGGACACGACATATGAAAAAGAACATATATTTATATATTATCTTAAAATATGCTTCATAAAAAAGTTAGTTAAGCAATATCAAGCTTGGTCAGTCCATAGATGGTTGACTGCTTGTAAGCTTGGATATGCCTGTTATGCAATGGATAGAAAGGCAAAGTTTATTTAGAGCTACAAGGGAAAGGAAAACAAATATTTTGTGAATTTAAATTCTTTTTTAATTATCTCCAGAACTTTGTGAATTGAGGAAATTAATTTTATATCTTCAAAATGCCAAGGAATAAAATGAGAGGTTTCGTGACGGTAGGATTGAAGTTGCCAAAGTTTGTTATTTGAAGAACTCAATTATCGGATTGAATTGGAATTTCGGCCGGAATTGAACTTATAGCCTGAATCAGAGTGAAAGTGAGGTTTTGAAGTTCCATGGCCTTACCCAGGAGCTAGCTTAAACGTCCACTAGTTTATAAATTGCACTTATAACTTGAATCAGAGCGAAAGTGAGGTTTTGAAGTTCCATAGAGTGAATTGAGGAATTCAAAATTATTTCTTTAAAATTATCATCGCTGTTTTTTAAGCTGGCCCAGAGATCCCTTTAGTTTTAGATTGGAGGGCCAGTTAGCCTTACCCACGAGCTAGCTTAAAAAACCGCTAGTTTATAATAATGTCTGGGCTATTAGCTTCTTTTGATCCATCTGTTGTTGTTGTGGTGGTGATGATGATGATAATAATAATAATAATAATAATATTACAATACACACTGACATAACAATCAAGGCCAACCGGCCAGATATTGTTATTAAAGACCACAAACAAAAACGATGCCTCCTCATTGATATGGCAGCCCCTGCTGACTGCAATGTATCTTTGAAGATATTCAAAAAGTTGTCAAAGTACAAGGACCTTGAAATAGAAATCTCGAAAATGTGGCATGTGGTAACATCAACAATCCCTGTTGTAGTTGGAGCCCTAGGATTGGTTGGAAAAGATTGCAGTAGACAAATTGAAGGGATTCCTGGAAGTCCATGCCTCAAGGAGATACAAAAAATTGTTCTGACAAGTACAGCCCACACCTTACGAAGGGCTTTATCTATGTAATTTAATTTTTTTTTGGTCAGTGGAAAGTGTCATGACGCCATTTCTAACCTTAGGTCCCTGGGCGGGACCCGGAAAGAAATGTGTAAACGCCAGAAATCAAAGAAAATAATAATAATAATAATAATAATAATAATAATAATAATAATAATGATGATGATGATGATCCCAAAAAAGTTTTTGCCGACTTTTATAAAGGAAATTAAAAATGCATATTTAAAGTCTTAAATGTATTTATTCATCAAAATATGAACCATTACATTCTACGACTATCTCCCAAAGGTTCAACAACTGAGTAATGCCATTAAAAAAAAAAAAAGTCCTTAGTTTTATTTTGGAAAAAATTATGCGCTTCCGTTTTCAAGTCATCTTCATTATTAAATCTCCTGTTCTTCATATGATTATCTAAGCCTAAAAACAAGTGAAAATCTGTTGGGTGGGGGGGGAGGTCTACTAAATACGGTGGCTGAAACATAATCTCCCACTTTAGCTCTGCTATCTTGGCAAGCGTCATTTTTTGCAACGTGTGGGCGAGCATTGTCCTGGAGAAACGAAATTTGTTTTCTGTTTACTAATTATTTGAAGAACTCTATTTTCGGCCTGAATTGGAATTTCATCCAAAATTCAACCTTTTGTCCAAAATTACACTTATAGCTTGAATCAGATTGAAAGTGAGGTTTTGAAGTTCCACGGAGTGAAATGAGGAATTCAAAGTAAATTCTTCAAAATTATCTTTCGTAGATGGACCAGAGGCCCCTTTAGCTTTAGGCTGGAGTCGTAATTAACCCCCACCCCGCCCAAGTTCGCTTGGAGTGCTTCTTTTAAGCTAGCGTGCTATATAAGTATACATTTCAAATAGAATAACTGAAAATAGTTTAAAGGAGAGACATGTCACAATATGTCTTAAATAAATCAAAAACTAAACTAGCGTCGAGATTTCATCAATTTACAGTTTAGCTGGCGAGATGTAGCCGTAAGTTCTATGCTAACAGTTTCTTCTCTCTTACTTCCCGCTTGTAGAACTCCCTACTGGCTCCACGCTTTCCAGCTAACTTTAATCTGCAAAAATTTAAAAGTAATCGCTATCTACTGTCCACCTGATTACACTCTTCTCTTTCTTCTCATTATTAATGTTTCTGTTCCTAATTCTTCCACTTCCTGTAACACTTTGTGTCTTAGTGGCTTTGCTACCTTGCTTTGGGTGATTCCGATTTTAAAAAAACATATTAGGCGAAGAAAAATGTGTTACATATGACTATGGTCTTTTGTAGCTCTTCGCAAATTTTGTATTTTTTTTTCTATATCTCCTAAACCATTTCCTTTGACACTTTTGCTTTTAATGTGTCCTATGAGTGTCAAATTTTCTTAGCCCTCTTTCTTCATTATGGGCCCTAGCCGTTTGAAGGGTTCTTTTCTGATGTTAAATATATATGCCGTTTTTGTTTCCATTGTCCATAGAACTTTGTCGTTGATCGCATGCCCAGTACATGGTATTCTCGGCATCCTTCTGTAGCCCTAGGCTGGTGTCGAGATCTCATCAATTTTAAGCTGAGCTGTCTAGATTCAGCCGTAAGTTCTATGCTAACAGTTTCTTTTCTCGCACTTCTCGTTTGTGGAACTCCCTTCCGGCTCCATTGCTTTCCAGCCAATTTTAATCTATAAAAATTTAAATGCAATGTCAATCGCTATCTACTGTTCTCCTGATTAGTCTTTTCTCTTCCCGCCCATTATTAAGGTTTCTGTTCCTAATTGTTTCACATGTTGTAACCCGTTGTGTTTTAGCGGCATTTCAGGGGATGATAACGATAAAAGAAAATAAATGTTTTGCGGCAGTTTTTTTACATGACGCATTCACGTTTCCAGGCCATGGCATTCTCAGTATCCTTCTGTAGAACCAGATTTCTTTTGCCTCAAGTTTCGTCTCCCGCTGTGAGGAGACAGTCCAGGATTCACTGTCATATAGGAGTTCCGATCTTAATCTATTTGCCTTGAGCTCGAATCAAAGCATTGTTTGTCACTCCGGACAAGTCCTAAACACGCATCCCTTCCACTTCCTTCTTTCGCGTTTTTTCTTTCTTTCTTTCTTCCCCGCGGGGTCAAAACCAGAATTAGTCGCTAAAGAGAGAGGAGACACCGGAAGGTTCTAATAATATCCAATCTCCGCTTAGACCTCAACCGGCCATCTCTTAGTCTAGCCTTTCGCCCCGAACTTCCTCAGTTCTTCATTTCGATTCCACCCCCCACTCCGGTGGCTCTTTACCCCCAACTGACCTTCAGGGTTCCTGAATTATCTTATCTTACCATTCTTGAATCTATCGGCGACAAAGCCGTAGGGCCAGTTTTGAAGGGCTGCTAAGTTTTCCATCGGCGCCTTTTCCAAAGACATTATCTTTAAGGGCTAGCAGGTGAAATAAAAAAATAAATAAATAAAAATATTGTCGGGGGTGGGGGAGTAAATACGAAGCACCTGTCTTGATGGGTTATTAAGTCTTGTAAACTCCCACCACCAAAAATTAATTTATCAACATTTTTTTTCATTGTATGTTCTACCAGGGGTGGAAAGGAAACGGGTAGGTGTGGACGTAGGAGACTGCTTTTGTCTCCGGCCGGGTGTTCGTCGTCCGCTACTTCTCTTTTGTGTTTCAGGTCAACTAAAGTATATTATTAACTAATTCCAAGAAGAGGCGTATTGCTAGGATATTTCCAATTCAAAATAAAAACAAATATATTAATAAATTAATTGGTAAAATAATAGTTTAATTAGTAATTAATTGGTAAAATAATAGTTTAATTAGTAATTAATTGGTAAAATTGGTAAAATAAGTTTTGAAGTATTTATTCTGTTAAATTTCAACTGAGTTAAAAAAAAAATTTCAACTTTAAAAAAAAAAATTTCAACTCGTTAAAAATTCGTTAAACTGGGTTTTGTTAAATTTCAACTGCATTTAAAAAATCTCTCGTTAAATTTCAACTGGGTTAAAAAAAGTGTTAAATTTCAACTGCATTTCTCTCGTTAAATTTCAACTGAGTTAAAAAAAAATTTCAACTGCATTTAAAAAATCTCTCGTTAAATTTCAACTGGGTTAAAAAAAGTGTTAAATTTCAACTGCATTTAAAAAATCTCTCGTTAAATTTCAACTGGGTTAAAAAAAGTGTTAAATTTCAACTGCATTTAAAAATCTCTCGTTAAATTTCAACTGGGTTAAAAAAAGTGTTAAATTTTGCATTTAAAAAAAATCTCTCGTTAAATTTCAACTGGGTTAAAAAAATGTTAAATTTCAACTGCATTTAAAAATCTCTCGTTAAATTTCAACTGGGTTAAAAAAGTGTTAAATTTCAACTGCATTTAAAAAATCTCGTTAAATTTCTGGGTTAAAAAGTGTTAAATTTCAACTGCATTTAAAAATCTCTCGTTAAATTTTAACTGGGTTAAAAAAAAGTGTTAAATTTCAACTGCATTTAAAAATCTCTCGTTAAATTTCAACTGAGTTAAAAAAAAAGTGTTAAATTTCAACTGCATTTAAAAATCTCTCGTTAAATTTCAACTGGGTTAAAAAAGTGTTAAATTTCAACTGCATTTAAAAATCTCTCGTTAAATTTCAACTGAGTTAAAAAAAAATGTTAAATTTCAACTGCATTTAAAAAATCTCTGTTAAATTTCAACTGGGTTAAAAAAGTGTTAAATTTTAAAAAATCTCTCGTTAAATTTCAACTGGGTTAAAAAAGTGTTAAATTTCAACTGCATTTAAAAAAAATCTCTCGTTAAATTTCAACTGAGTTAAAAAAAATGTTAAATTTCAATTTGCATTTAAAAACTCGTTAAATTTCAACTGGGTTAAAAAAGTGTTAAATTTCAACTGCATTTAAAAAATCTCTCGTTAAATTTCAACTGGGTTAAAAAAGAATTTAAATTTCAACTGCATTTAAAAAAAAATTTCAACTGCATTTAAAAATCTCTCGTTAAATTTCAACTGGGTTAAAAAAAGTGTTAAATTTCAACTGCATTTAAAATCTCTCGTTAAATTTCAACTGGGTTAAAAAAATCTCGTTAAATTTCAACTAAAAAAAATTTAAAAAATCTCTCGTTAAATTTTAACTGGGTTAAAAAAAAAATTTCAACTGCATTTAAAAATTTCGTTAAATTTTAACTGGGTTAAAAAAAGTGTTAAATTTTGCAAAAATCTCTCGTTAAATTTTCGTTAAAAAAGTGTTAAATTTCAACTGCATTTAAAAAATCTCTCGTTAAATTTCAACTGGGTTAAAAAGTGTTAAATTTCAACTGCATTTAAAAATCTCTCGTTAAATTTCATTTAAAAAATTGTTAAATTTCAACTGCATTTAAAAAATCTCTCGTTAAATTTCAACTGGGTTAAAAAAGTGTTAAATTTCAACTGCATTTAAAAATCTCTCGTTAAAAACTGGGTTAAAAAATTTAAATTTCAACTGCATTTAAAAAATCTCTCGTTAAATTTCGTAAAAAAAATTTCAAATTTAAAAACTGCATTTAACTGGGTAAAAAAAAAGTGTTAAATTTCAACTGCATTTAAAAAATCTCTCGTTAAATTTCAACTGGGTTAAAAAAAAGTGTTAAATTTCAACTGCATTTAAAAAATCTCTCGTTAAATTTTAACTGGGTTAAAAAAAAGTGTTAAATTTCAACTGCATTTAAAAAATCTCTCGTTAAATTTCAACTGGGTTAAAAAAAAGTGTTAAATTTCAACTGCATTTAAAAAATCTCTCGTTAAATTTCAACTGGGTTAAAAAAAGTGTTAAATTTCAACTGCATTTAAAAAATCTCTCGTTAAATTTCAACTGGGTTAAAAAAAGTGTTAAATTTCAACTGCATTTAAAAAATCTCTCGTTAAATTTCAACTGGGTTAAAAAAAGTGTTAAATTTCAACTGCATTTAAAAATCTCGTTAAATTTCAACTGGGTTAAAAAATGTTAAATTTCAACTGCATTTAAAAATCTCGTTAAATTTCAACTGGGTTAAAAAAGTGTTAAATTTCAACTGCATTTAAAAATCTCTCGTTAAATTTCAACTGGGTTAAAAAAATGTTAAATTTCAACTGCATTTAAAAATCTCTCGTTAAATTTCAACTGGGTTAAAAAAAAATTTCAACTGCATTTAAAAAATCTCTCGTTAAATTTCAACTGAGTTAAAAAAAAGTGTTAAATTTCAACTGCATTTAAAAATCTCTCGTTAAATTTCAACTGGGTTAAAAAGTGTTAAATTTCAACTGCATTTAAAAATCTCGTTAAATTTCAACTGGGTTAAAAAAAGTGTTAAATTTCAACTGCATTTAAAAAATCTCTCGTTAAATTTCAACTGTTAAAAAAGTGTTAAATTTCAACTGCATTTAAAAAATCTCTCGTTAAATTTCAACTGGGTTCGTTAAATTTCAACTGCATTTAAAAAAATCTCTCGTTAAATTTCAACTGGGTTAAAAAAAGTGTTCAACTGCATTTAAAAAAAAACTGTATTAAATTTTAAAAAATCTCTCGTTAAATTTCAACTGGGTTAAAAAAATGTTAAATTTCAACTGCATTTAAAAATCTCTCGTTAAATTTTAACTGGGTTAAAAAAGTGTTAAATTTCAACTGCATTTAAAAAATCTCGTTAAATTTCAACTGGGTTAAAAAAAGTGTTAAATTTTGCATTTAAAAAATCTCTCGTTAAATTTTCAACTGGGTTAAAAAAAGTGTTAAATTTCAACTGCATTTAAAAATCTCTCGTTAAATTTCAACTGGGTTAAAAAAAAGTGTTAAATTTCAACTGCATTTAAAAAAAATCTCTCGTTAAATTTCAACTGGGTTAAAAAAATGTTAAATTTCAACTGCATTTAAAAAATCTCTCGTTAAATTTCAACTGGGTTAAAAAATTGTTAAATTTCAACTGCATTAAAAAAAATCTCTCGTTAAATTTCAACTGGGTTAAAAAAAGTGTTAAATTTCAACTTTAAAAAATCTCTCGTTAAATTTCAACTGGGTTAAAAAAAAATGTTAAATTTCAACTGTTTTAAAAAATCTCTCGTTAAATTTCAACTGGGTTAAAAAAGTGTTAAATTTCAACTGCATTAAAAAATCTCTCGTTAAATTTCTGGGTTAAAAAAAAAAGTGTTAAATTTCAACTGCATTTAAAATCTCTCGTTAAATTTAACTGGGTTAAAAAAGTGTTAAATTTCAACTGCATTTAAAAAATCTCTCGTTAAATTTCAACTGGGTTAAAAAAAGTGTTAAATTTCAACTGCATTTAAAAATCTCTCGTTAAATTTCAACTGGGTTAAAAAAAAATTTCAACTGCATTTAAAAATCTCTCGTTAAATTTCAACTGGGTTAAAAAAAAGTGTTAAATTTCAACTGCATTTAAAAATCTCTCGTTAAATTTCAACTGTTAAATTTCAACTGCATTTAAAAAAATCTCGTTAAATTTCAACTGGGTTAAAAAAAAGTGTTAAATTTCAACTGCATTTAAAAAATCTCTCGTTAAATTTCAACTGGGTTAAAAAAATGTTAAATTTCAACTGCATTTAAAAAATCTCTCGTTAAATTTCAACTGGGTTAAAAAAAATTTTAAATTTCAACTGCATTTAAAAATCTGGGTTAAAAAAATGTTAAATTTCAACTGCATTTAAAAATCTCTCGTTAAATTTTCAACTGGGTTAAAAAAAGTGTTAAATTTCAACTGCATTTAAAAAATCTCTCAACTGGGTTAAAAAAAATGTTAAATTTCAACTGCATTTAAAAAAAAATTTCAACGTTAAATTTCAACTGCATTTAAAAAAATCTCTCGTTAAATTTCAAGTTAAAAAAAAAAATGTTAAATTTCAACTGCATTTAAAAATGCTCTCGTTAAATTTCAACTGGGTTAAAAAAAATGTTAAATTTCAACTGCGTTAAATTTCAATTTAAAAAAAAAACTGCATTTAAAAAATCTCGTTAAATTTCAACTGGGTTAAAAAAGTGTTAAATTTCAACTGCATTTAAAAAATCTCTCGTTAAATTTCAACTGGTTAAAAAAAGTGTTAAATTTCAACTGCATTTAAAAAAAATTTCAACGTTAAAAAAATTTCTGCATTTAAAAAATCTCTCGTTAAATTTCAACTGGGTTAAAAAAAGTGTTAAATTTCAACTGCATTTAAAAATCTCTCGTTAAATTTCAACTGGGTTAAAAAAAGTGTTAAATTTCAACTGCATTTAAAAATCTCTCGTTAAATTTCAACTGGGTTAAAAAAGTGTTAAATTTCAACTGCATTTAAAAAATCTCTCGTTAAATTTCAACAACTGCATTAAAAAATCTCTCGTTAAATTTCAACTGGGTTAAAAAAGTGTTAAATTTCAACTGCATTTAAAAATCTCTCGTTA